TGGGTGATCTGCGGATAATTTTTCTTTTACGGCTTCGGGTTTTGTTATTAGTCGTTAGGTTTAGGGGGTGTTTAAACTGTAGCTGGTGGTTGTATCCACTTTTGTCAAGGGCTTGTTGATATGGCGGGGAGGCTTGTTCGAATGAATCTTTATCAGAGGATATCTCGGTTAGTCGTTTGTTAATGGATAATGGAATATTACGCAGAACACTAGGTTGGTGCATGGTTAGACTTGCTATGCACATAAAGAGGTGTGTTGTTAGGCTTAGAGTATGGAGGATATTTACCAGTGATTAGATTCAGTGTTACGTCAAGGAAATTCACGATCTTTTTGTTCGCTTCAATGGTAATTTTCAGGCCATGGTTGTTGAATAAAGTGCACAGATCCTGATCTGTGCACTTTATTCAACAACCATGGTCTGAAAATTACCATTGAAGCGAACAAAAAGATCGTGAATTTCCTTAACGTTACACTGAATCTAACCACTGGTAAATATCATCCATACTCTAAACCTAACAACACACCTCTTTATGTGCATAGCAAGTCTAACCATGCACCCACCTAGTGTTATGCGTAATAATCCATTATCCATTAACAAACGACTAACCGAGATATCCTCTGATAAAGATTCATTCGAACAAGCCTCCCCGCCATATCAACAAGCCCTTGACAAAAGTGGATACAACCACAAGCTACAGTTTAAACACCCCCTAAACCTAACGACTAATAACAAAACCCGAAGCCGTAAAAGAAAAATTATATGGTATAACCCACCATATAGCAAAATTGTTTCGACTAATGTTGGCCAGACTTTCTTGAAAATAATTGACGAGGAATTCCCCGCAGATCACCCATTACACAAAATATTCAACCGTAATACAGTCAAGATCAGCTACAGCTGTATGCCAAACATTAAGCAGACTATCGATGGACATGTTACGAAAGTATATCTAAATAGTATAAAAACAGTTCAGTTTGCACCCCAGGTAATTATGGATACTAGTTACGTCAAATGGAGAGATAATGAGCACTTTTGCTGTAAAACGCAGATAAAGTATATATCATTTCTAACTTGTGTAAAAGTGTCAATTATCTGTCCATTAGGCAAGATAAATTATTCGTCAATTTGTCAAAGTTGGACGATAACCTTGCATGGTGGGCTGTTGTGTTTACATAATTCAAAGTCCAAGGCTGGTTCTTCTTTGACATGGAAAATGTGCATGCTTAGGGCATTTCTGTCAATCATTCTTCGGTATATTTCGCGCGGTTGAGTAATGATAACATTACGTCATCAAAATCTTGGTTCAATAAAATTGTAAGTGAATTTAGTTTAGTAGGTAAAGTAAGGTTCACATAGGTATAGTTTGAAGTTTTTACTATGGTATTTTGATAAGTATTTTAAGTTGTGAACATAGTTTAACATTGATCGATTGAGCAGCGAACCAACTCGACCAGTGCGACAACGCCTTAAATAAACATAATTTGAGAGCTGGAACGAGCTAGCAACGCCAACCCACACTTTTAAACTTCAACGTTGATTGGCTGGATACAAATCACACCACTTGCTACATCACGTGGACAAAGATTCCCTCAACCGTTAGTATAAAAGGGCATGCACAACCCAAATTCGTCAGTGTATGACCTCAGTGGATTCTCAGTGGATGATCTTTCAGTGGATTCTCAGTGGACAGTGGACTGATCAGTAAAGTGAAGTAAAGTGAAGACTGATGAGCAAAGTGAAATGAAGTGAACTCTTGGAAAACTACTGCAAGAAGACGAACATTATATTAAGAACTGATAGTTATTAGAGGTTGATTGTAACAATTCTCTACCTATAAATAAAGCCTCGTAACAGACACAACAAATCTACGCTGTCTACAGCTTTCACCACGAATAGTCTCGACATGTGCAGTTGCCCTAAAAGCAATAAAGAACTGTGCCCACTGTCTAATAAATGTATCACCGAATCGGTTGTGTATCAAGCTACAGTCACTATTACGGACAAAACTATCAATAGACCTCCCCAAACATATGTCGGCCTTACTGAAAACTCGTTCTAAACAAGACTTGCAAACCATAAAGCATCATTTAACTCCTTTGACAAACGGAACGCTACTGAACTTAGCAAATACGTTTGGGAATTGAAAAATCGAAACATCCATTATACAATCAAATGGAAACTATTGAAACGAGCTAAGCCTTATAACTGTGCTTCAAATAGATGTAATTTGTGTTTATGGGAGAAATACTTTATCATTTGTAAGCCCAAAATGGCAACTTTAAACAAACGTAATGAGTTAGTATCAGCATGTAGGCATAATAAAAAATTCCTTTTAATTAAGTAAAATTTAAAAGCTAGACATTTAAATATACCGCGGTGTGTTAATCTTTCCGCGTCCTGTCAGCTTATCACATAACATGTTTATTAAATCGCGTGCTTTGTAAATAGGATTAAGTTTATGTCTCATCCACTTGTACATATAACCTTGTAAGTTTTAGTCTATAGTCATTAGGTTAATTTATCTTAGTAATAAAGATGCCTAGTGGATTTTGTTGATTTGTTGTACCTTAAAATCAATTTAAATATGCTCTGGTTTTCCATTGAGCACTTTGCCAAAAGTTTTTATAACCAACGAAATCAAATTTTATATATATATAATATATATATATATATATATATATATATATATATATATATATATATATATATATATATATATATATATATATATATATATATATACTAATGTGATTAGCTTAAAAAATAAATTTGATTACTAATTTCAGACTGCAAGCTAGGGTTGAGAACCATTACACAAAGCGTTGGGTGAACTTGCTATTGACTCGACTGGTCTTAAACCAGTGACTTGACTCGAGTGAAGCTGCTAACTCGACTCGAGATTGCACGAGTACAAATAAATATTGCACAAAACTGGAATAAGATCCAGTTTCAATCCAATTGCCCGGGTACCTGAGGTAATTTTAGGTATAATATAAATATATTGCCCTCAGTCTAAATCGCCCTCAGTCTAAATCGCCCTCAGTCTAAATCGCCCTCAGTCTAAATCTCCGTCAGTCTAAATCGTGTTCATAGGGACCTTTAACATTGAAAGCTGTCGAGAAAGTATTTTTACAGCAATATATTCACGTGCATGAACAGAGCAATTACACTCATCCCGCTTAAACGAGCCAGATCGAGCCGGTATTGAAGACATCTAATACTTTATACTCCGGTTCTATCTGTTTAAAAGCTCAAAATCTCGTAACTTGCATCCGTGGTCATATTCTTTGTATTCTTCAAATGCTATAACTACCAAACTTGATTCTCAAAAATGTTTTATCTATCAGTTTTTTCCATGGCTAGACGTCTGTTTAGCCGTACGCGCTGGTTGGCGTGACGTCCTAATTAACCTTTCTCACGCCGCCATTTTTGGGGTACTTTTTTGCCAATCCTGTGAGCGTAACAATATACGTAACGGCGACATTTTATAATTTTATGGTTTTGTGATGGTAAATTTACTCTGTAAATAGTTAGTTTGTTCTGAAATATTGCTTTTCACATTGTTATAATCGTTTGCGAAAAATTACAGTACCCCAAAAATGGCGGCGTGAGAAAGGCTAATTTGGTATATCTTCGATTCCAAGCCTGAAACGTTTGTGGTATAGTAAGCAATAATCAGGCTTTTAGATGCTGTAATTTTTGTTTCAAACTTTTAGTTACCAGAAACGTTTTATACAATTCATAATTAATTCTCATAAAAAATTCATAATAACATAACAATTAAACTTAGGATGGTAATAACAGTCAGATAACAAACTTTAATATTACCTTGAAACATGTTAGGAATATGGGGCTCATCGGTTTCATATTTACCCGACAGTCCTTTCATAAAGTTGGGTTAAATGTCAGCCGGTTCGAGCATGAAAATTAACTGATTACCCGCGAAATCAGGATTTTGTAAAAATCTTACAAAAAAAAATCGCAGCAGCTTATTAGTATATCTTCCATTGTAGGAACAAATGGGTTGATTTGGTGGAATAAAAAAAAATTCGAATATTTTCATTTGACTTGAGATTCTCGGTTTTTACAGGCAGTTGCTTTTAATAAACTCCTTTACTCAATACAGGTCCTAGGGCTCTGATCGCATGACGTTGGGGCAATAGGCCATTTTTTTCTTCAGTGGTGGGGAGGAAGAATGGGCCCAGTGGGGCAAGTGCCCCACCTGTCCATGGTATTAAAAAATGCCTTGAGTGCCGCACACTTTCCTTATGCCGCTGCACACTATCAGACTACTTCATCAAACTTTTCTAGATGTCCCAAACTGTTCCTGATCCCCGTTCTTCAACCATCGCTGCGTTCTTTTCTAGTGCCGCACGCTTCCCATATGCCCCTGCATACTGTCAGTGTAGTGCCCTGTTCATTTTCAGTGCTCTATACCTCGCTTCGCTCGGTGAATTCGGGAAACTTCCAGCCACCCTCGGTGCGTCCAATCCCGGACTCACCTCCCTGCAAGTATGTTTGTTATAGAGTGTAATAATAAGAATTATGTAATAATTATAATTAATATTAATAATTTCCAGTTTACTATATTTGAATAGAATAAAATCTAAAACCTAAAAATCTAAAACCTAAAAATCTAAAACATAAAAAATAGAAACCGAAAATCAAGAACCTAGAAATCAAGAACCTGAAAATCAAGAGGCTGATAATCAAGAATCTGAAAATCAAGAACTTGAAAATCAAAAACCTAAAACCTTGAAACCTAAAAATCAGGAAAGCAAGAACCCAGAAATCAAGAACCTGAAAATCAAAGACCTGAAAAAGACGAACCGCAAAATGGAAATAAAGTGAGAAATGTACTTGGGCCTCGGTATAGAAAATCCAAAAATTGGTAAACAGTAAAATTCTAAAATACCATAAGAATTCGAGCAGTTTCGCTTTTTAATAAAACCAAATGAATGGAAATTTGGAGATTTAGATTGTAGATTGTAATTCTTTACCTGCGCAAACCGTCCCATTCCAAGAATATCCACTATCACAACTGCAAAGAAACGATCCAACACTGTTGCTGCATCTTCTGTTTTGGGGACAGTTGTCAATAGCTAGGGTACATTCATCGATGTCTAAAAGGAAACACAAGAAGTGAAGAAAAGAGCACGAAGTGATTGTAGTATTGAGTTGTCCGTAATAAAATGATTGCATCACCTACCAGTGCAAGTCACACCAGTTCCGGTATAACCATTGTTGCATCTGCACGAAAAACTCCCAATAGTGTTGATACATTGAGAACCCCGGCTGGCGCAGTTGTCCAAATGTCGGGAACATTCATCTACATCTATACAGATTTGTCAATAATATTATACACTTAATTATTATTTCATGATTTTTAACTACACAGAAATCATTCGTGGTCATTCGTACGTGTGTACTTTTAGACAAGATCAGACTTTGTGCGTATATCACATGAGTGACCACGAATGACCACGAGTGATGTCTGTGTTTAAAGATCGTGAAATAATAATAAAAACTATTTTAAGGTGGCTCTCTAGGGGTTTTGCATGATAATGGCATTGCTCTTCTGAACATTGCAATGTGCCACTTTTGTGCTGAAAGTCTGTTACCATGGCAACAGCGTGCTTAGGATAAAGCTCAAAATTTGTCTTTTTCTGGCCATTTTAAAAATTCCCTTCGGCAAGTTTTTTTAGTTTTTGAATATTGCACACGCCAGATGTGATAATTGTACACGTCACATCTCGCAAAATATTTAAAACTTTGCACATTTCCTAATATCGGCTCAATATCCTTTTTTCTTAAAATTTTATCCAAGGAAATTTTTTTAATGTTGATTTTTGACGTTTTTGAAATTTTCTAAGAAACGTTGGATAAAATTTTTTTAAATTGAAGAAAAAAAATCATTTTACGAGTAATGTCTTTTATGCTAATTTTTAAAAAAATTACGGGAAGTTTTAAAATGGCCGGAAAAGACAATTTTTTAGCTTAATTATCCGAAGCACGTTGTTACCATGGTAACGGACTTTCCCGGCAAATTGCAGTGTTCAGGAGAGCATGCGTTCAATAAATTTCATCTTCATGTGATGTAAAGTGAAGAAAGAGGAGTTTTCTGGATGCCATAATGTCGTATAATGCAAAAAACCATAGGGAGTAACCTTAAAATAGTTTTTGTACTAGAAATACATGCATACAGTAACCCCTCGCCAATATTTCCATATATTAAACATGAAGTATTGAGAAATGACCAGCACTGAACGCAGGCTCGCGCTCAAGTGTTGCCATGACAACACGATATTCTTAAATTTTTATTTTCATATATTTTGTACAAAACTGCAAAATAGTTGAAATATTCGTACTTTTAACTATACAACAATAAATTTCCGAAATATATACTGTAGGTATATTATTTTGCATTTTGTGAGCTTTGATCTAATGTAAAATTTAACTTGAAACGCTTCGTAAATTTTTTTGAAATGTTCATTCAAGTAAACTACATTTTGCCGATAAACTGTTTTTACTTAACAAAACATGATAAGTTTAATACAAATAAAACAAAATTAATTGTTAGGTAATTTCACTTCAGTCTTCAAATCAATTTGTTCGCCTTTACATTTTAAGATTTTTTTCTCAAATTGAACGGTAATTTATGAAACTTAGAGCTTCTATAGTTCATATTTTCCCCGAGCCGACGGCGCGAAGCGCCGTGGAGGGTACTAATTCCCCCCGGCTATTTACACCCGGGGAAACGAAAGCATTAGCGGAGTCTAAAGTTCATCAAATATCGCGGGCGTGGGTCACCAACGGTGTTGGGTGGGTGGTCATCCTCACTGATCTCAAAAATATGGCGGACTGTCACGATAGCGGACACTGATTGGTCCAATTTAAAGTTTGCATTATAACGACTGCATGACGACAGCGAATTAGCAAACATTTCTTGATTTGATTTGATTTGATGATTGATAAATTTCTTGCAAATATATTCCATTTTTGCACGCATTTTTGCAAGATTTTGTAAATTTCAAAAGCTTTCTGAGAAAGAAACTGCGAAAGAATCGGCTAAAAGAAGGGAGCCGACGTTAACGAAAGTAAGTTTGTTTTAAATATTGATTTTATAATGGATTTAAAACCCGACGGCCTTTGCGTATATGAAACAACTAAACAAGACAGCGTATAATTTCATTGTATCTTTAATATTGATTCCTTTTTTTATGATATTGATTTTTTTTTAATAAAAAAGAAAGCAAAGTTATTTGCAAGCGAGAATTTTAATTCATTTTATTGCAAACTCAAAGTTTATCGATAAAGCCAGTTTAAAAGGCAGTTTAGTTTTATAAAGAATACTAGTGACTTTAAAACGTTTTGCGAAGCGTTTGTGGTTGAATTTTACCTTAAATTGAGGCTTATATTACGTATAATAACATACCTAACAAATATATGTTGGGAAATTAATCATTTTGTAATTAAAAGTGATATTTTTAGGCGATTTTTCATTTGTAAGAATATTCTTAAAAAATTATCGTGTTACCATGACAACTACTTTAGATACTTCATGTTCGGAAAATACAATGGTTTTATCAGCAAGGCGAGGGTTTCTGCATGCATGTATTTTCTAGTTTATTACGTTTTTATTTCTATTTATTGTTTTTAGGGTATGTGAAC